GATTTTTAATACAAATGTTTAAAACGTTTATAATGATATATTATAAATATACAATGAATTTTAAAATTATGAAATATTAAAGGATTGTGAGCGAAACATGTTACTGTTATAAATGCATTATAAATGCTTAATATATGCATTAAATTTCTCGTGATTAATTTAATAAATTGTTTTTGCCAGAACAACCCATGGGTAGGGGACAAAAAATTATGAAGATAGTCATAATTCTCGAACAAAAATATGCAGAAAGTCATTTTAAATCCAACTGTAAAAGTTAAAGCACAAAAAGTTTATAAATAGATTTACAAACTACCCATTTTCGAGTACGTGATATTAACATAAGCATAGAAAATCAATAAATTTATATACTTCTGAAAAATCTTCAAATAATTTCTATAATATTTCGACATTACTTAAACAAATTACACATTAGCTAAATGTATTAATATCCATTGTGATTTGTTTGAATTACCTAAAATAAAAGTCCTGTTACTGCTATAAACTAACGTTTATATGAGCGGCTAAAAGTTACTCTAAAATAGTTTCTGATTCAGAAATGATCTTTCCTGAAAACATGGATAAAACAATGACAACTCTCTTTCTCAAAACAACGACAAAAGCCTCTAATTTATTAAATATTCTAGCAATTAGCAGCCATTAGATTTTTACTGAATTACAAAGAAAGACTGCTTTATCATAAGACTGCTTCTTTTACCTGCATTTCTCTGAAAGCGTTCATCAACAGAGTAGAGAATCTGATGTGTCTACATAATTAAGAAGGTAAGGTGCATAATCATATTAAGAAAATGTACATATTTCTAAAGTAAATGCATGACTGGTATCCAGATATATTGTGAACTGTGAAATGTATAAATCAGTTTGAACCAAATGCAGATTAAATTGTTTTTTAAAGCGTTAAAAAATCACTGGAAAGCATTTATGAGATATCGAGTTTAAAATAACAAAATGTTCTCTTTAAGCGATATATCAATTATCGAACGAGTAAAACGTAATTATAATGTAGAAAGGGAAAACTGATCTAAGACAATAGATGAACTGACAAAATAAAAAAGGTATCGGATTTTAAATCGAATAATGTAAATATATATTTGTGTTAATATGTGAAAACAATAATGCTAAAAGTGCTAACCTTAGCATTTAATATATAAGACACCGTTAAGCATTTCCTTTTTCTTTGGTATTTAAATTAAATGCAATGAAAGTCAAAGTGTCTGGTGTTCGTTTGTGCTTATGTATCCTTAAATATCCCATGTTTATTTAAAAAGTGTGTTCCTTGTTTCAGATCATACTACTTTAGAATAATGATCTAATAAAATACTCTTCCGAATATAAATCTTTAAATATTTGAATACTTGAACTAAAGCAATAAATTTATTATCTGTTTTATGAGACTGTCCCTAAGTTTATCTGTTTAGTACTGCATATAAATCACCCATGGTAGGCAAAATTAATCTTCGGTTACTCTTTTTTTTAAGTCCTATAAGACATAATTCCTGGATTTGAATAAGCTTAAATAGGTGAACCAGCAAAGGTTTCGGATAATTTTAAAGACAGTTAAACAAGATACATTCATATGTCTTACTACGCAGTCTGTGCCTCAAATCATCAAAGTTATTGGTTGCATCACATTTATTTGTACTCTTATTTTTCAATTAAATTACCAATTACAACTTCGAATTTTTCTACTTGTTTTAAGCTTACAAAATAGGAAATATTTATTTGTTCGATAGGGGTAGGGCGTTCGGCCCAGGTGCTCAGGTGCAAGCACCATCCCCCCCCCTTGAAACCTCTGTGCCTGGAAGAATCAGTTGGATTACTCATTGAATACTCCACTGGAGAAATGATAATTTCATTCACGTAGTGTGAATATACCTGCTTTAGACTTTTGTTCGGCTTAATTTTTCCGAATGGTCCTGCTTTGTGAAATTACTGATCATTCTTGTTCCACAACATCAAATGGAATTAGTAGTACTTGTCAACATATATTCAAGCTCTTGGGTGTTGCGCTTGCCTGCAGTGTTTTGTGAACTTTGATATCTGCAGATGCTCCAGAAAGCCTTAAGCCTTCGCAACTGATTAATATGTGGCATAATAAACTAACATCAGTATTTCTATAAATCATTATTTGATTATAAATTTTTTAATGTAACATTCTTAAATATAATTACAAGAATTAGAATTAAACAACAGTTAATGATAATTAATAAATTCAAAATTTTCTTTCTGAATGTAAAGTTCTCTAAGAGTTTGATACAGAATTCAGTACTTCTTTTTTAATATTTTTGGTGAATTCATTAAATTCATTTAGGAATTAGGGTTTTATGATTTTCCTAAAGTGTTCTGCTAATCTAATCAGTAAATTTAATACATAATATTCTTTAGAGTGACTGATGTCATACCATATCAACAACTCAGAAAGTGCAAATGAGTCCTGCTCTGTTTCCGCCCCCAGGCCATAGATAAAGTGCATGTAGGCGAGCTCCACGTTCGTGTAGCAAGTCATATCACTCAATTCCTCACAGGGAAGAATGATTTACTCCAGCAGAACGCTTATATTCATCCCTTCGGCAATTTTCTTTTATACCTCAACGCAACATTTCCACACATACATTACTTTGCAAAATATACTTCACGCATGCCCACCTAATTGCCTGCCTGCCTACTTACCTACCTACCTATATGCCTACCTTCCTACCTATCTATCTGTTTATATCAGTCTCTCTCTTATTATATATATATACAATTCAAATGAAAACAATATCCAACAAAGCTCTGGAAACTACAGCAGCTGGTGGTAATATTGAAAAGTAAAAACTTTTAAATCCAATACATAATTTACCTGGAGCAAATTTATATAAAAAAATAAAAGTTTTTTAGTAATAAATTAAGCAATAAACTAAGCAATTATGTGCAAATAAAATAATCCAGCAATGAGATCAATGTTTCATAAATGGAAAAACGTATAGCAAAAAATAAAAATGTGCAAACAATAATGCAAACAAAAAGGTAGAGCAAATAAAGAAAATGAATTTACATCTCTCTCCGTATCGTCTTCGCTGCTTGAGTTCGAAAGAAGCAAGTAGAATTATTGTTCCTGAACTAATAATGACCCAAAGTTACCAAATTTAAAACTTCATTAACAGAAAAACAGTCTGTACCTTTTAGTCCATGTCTTACAAGCTGGAATAAGAAGAGCATTTTGCCCAATTTTTCACGAATATCAAATCCATTAAGATCCAGACCATTGCATAAACCAAAATCAAAACCTTCCATTTGATTTAAATACAAATCACACACAGCAGACTAATTCCGTTGCCTAATGTACAAACAATGCATAAAGTATTAAATGTATAAGAAAGATATAAATTGTAGCCTGTAACAAACTAGTCGATATATGAAAACAGTCATTGTGTCGAATATTAATCAAAAAAATTTTTAATGTGGTGAAATACAAAATAAATGCAAACGAAAAAGAAAACAGGGCTTACCTTTAATTTGCTGTAGCTTAGATGTCAAATTGTATACCATCCAGTGCTCAAATCTGCCAAACGATCTCTTGTCATTCTTTAAGCAATAGTAATTTTGAATGAAAAAATTGGTAGTACTTAATCTTCAAGAACAGTTTTTCGTAAGCAAGAAACAACTCTGAAATATGGTGTGGTATGCAAGTTAATTGCTTTGTGAAAAAAACTGAGTGAAGTAAGTAAATTTAATACTATAACAGAAAAGCGAATTAATTTTTAAACAACTTTGATAGGCAAACAATTTATATTTTTTATTTTTTACATTAGCTTGCTCCAGGTTTAATATGTATTGGATTTAAATGTTTTTAAGGTATTCCTCCCTCTGAGTGATTGAAAAGTGGCCAAAAAACTACTTTTCTATCACCCGTAGTTTAACAAAAAAAAAATAATAATAATAATTCGTCCCAATGCAAGCGAAAAAGAACTTTAAGACCGATAAAGCATGTAATGTATTAAAATAAAGCGTTAACTTTTTTAATGGTAGTAAGTTTCCTAAGGACTATTTTAATGTTTCACGTAATATACGACGTGTCGGTTTAATGATATGCAAATTAACAGCTTTCGTTTTACTGGCTATAAAAAAGAAGTCATATTCAATCTGCTAGATATCAGCATAGGTGTTAATCATATCAGCACAGGTGTTAATTAACTAAAAATGTATTGATATATAAACGCGTAAAATAAAATTTGTTTTTCTTGCATTGGATGTAACATCTTAATCTCTCACTCACATATAACCTAAAAACGTTGGATGGTCACAGATAGGGCTTTTAGCCATTCTTCGTTCACTCGGAAGGAGGAATATCACTACTAAAAACTTATGCCAGACATATGGCCATATATATATATATATATATATATATGTATATGTATATAATTATATATATATATATGTATATGTATATAATTATATATATATATGTATATGTATAATTATATTATATATAATGCATGATGATGTTTTACAAGTAAGTTTTCATAAACAAATTTGGCCATTCTTTAAAAAATAATTAATAATGAGCAAATGTATCAATAATTAAATGGGTAAATATATAAAATAGTAATTATATTACTTTACTTTCGAAAAACACGAAAGAATCGAATGATTGAATTCCAGTATCGCAATGGTAAGCGATACTGTAAATGATTAAGAACATAATACAGTAATTTTAAATAATTTTTAAAATACAAATGGAGAACATGAGATTTGAAAAAAAAAATGAAACGATAAGCTAAAATGTTAAAACATTTGGAATAGATTATGGATTGTTTTAATTTTGTTCAATTTCAAGGTGATGGATAAAATGTTTTAACCACTTCCAGTATCGCTTACCATTGCTTAGTCATGTCTTTCATGTTTTGGAAGAGTTAAATAACTTAAGTTATTATTTTAAATTGCATGTATAGTGGGTGTCCCAATGATAGCAAAAATATAAGAACTTTTAAAAGCCTAGCCAGGAAAACACTTACATTATCTATTACATGATTAAACTTCAAGAAAACAGGTTTCTAAATTTAAAAGAAAAATCAAGCATGAAGCATTGCATTTTTTCAATAAAACACTGCTCATAAATGTTTCACGATATTTTGTCAATATGTTTTTAATTCTGATTTTCTTTTCAGAACTTGAAAAATCAAATCATGACAACAAACTTGTGGGTCGAACAGGTAAATAGACATATTTTTAAATCATTTTTTACTTTATATGCCTATTCATTAATATATTGTCATTTCTCGTTTAATTTAGTATTGGCATGATTACAAACTTACTTGGGAACCAAGGGAATATGGAGGAGTAGATATGCTTCATGTTCCTTCAGATCATATATGGAGACCTGATATTGTCCTGTATAACAAGTTAGTTCATTCAAAATTTTTCATTTGAGCAAGCACACCAAATGTCTTATGAGTGTGATACTGATGGAATAAACATGTATTTTTGAACTTACTTCTAATATAATTATTTTCGAAGTTGTATATATGCATTAGAGTTTCGATGTACTTTGAATGGAACTAAAATATATGATTGATGTAAAGCATTTGTTTTAAAATATTAAAATGGTACACTTATATCAAATCAAACGTTATTCTTATCCGGTGTTTCATGTAGTCTAAATCAACAGAAAGGAAGATGCACACGAGCAAGTGGCTTAGATTAAAGTAAAATCCATGTAGTGAGCAGATGTGTTAAAACGTTATTGATGCTGGTGGGAAAATATTGTTATTTCCCTCATCTGACATCAAGGGAACCGATTCCCTTTCCGCGAAAGGTATAACCTAAATTCACAATGACGCGAAAAGTGACAAAGCGGGAAAAGACGCTCTCTGCGAACGTCGATTCATACTGGAGCGAGAAATTTCAATTAAAACGTTGTTACCTACCGATTCTCTAGCAATCTCTTTGCGTGGGGAATTAGGGTAAAACCGAATCCCTATTTCTTGTTCTTAATTTTCCAGCGTACTGTCCATTGTATTTTAGCTTCCTGCACATTTATTTTTTGGTCAAAAGAGATCCCATCTGGTACTGATGCTACATGTATGCTTGATTGAATAAGAAAACCTTCATGTTATTTCAATTACCTCAACTTTAATTAAAAATCTAAATAAATCAGAAAAAGTTATCAATATTTGATTAGATTTAATTAGAATTTCAGATCATATTAAGAAAGCTATGTAGCTTTAGAGGAAGCCGAAAGTACTCTCGAGAGTTTGTGGTAGTGGTAGAAGGATGTATGACCGTCGGATCGCCCTCCAGAGTATTCTTCAAAACTGAGTTGAAGCTGAACAGTTAGCTAAGTTCTGCAATTCATCAATTACTACAGAGGTATAATTACTACTACTGTGGTACTAGAGAGAGGTTCTGGCCTAGCTTCTACCTGTAGCTGTACGCACGAACAAAAGAAAGAACTTTCTTTTTCAAAAATGGATTGTAAAATGGATTAAAAATGGACTCAAAAGGGATTTTTTGTGTCGTCTACATTTCGTCAAGATACATACTTACATACATACTTAGTATGTAACTCACACAACTCAAAAACGGTTTTGAAAATTTGTACTGTATGGAACTGCTATAGCATCTAGTTGTGCACCTTGCTTTATTATTGCAGTTGGTAATAGCAAGCGGATATATATATATACCCACACTCTTACCCGGCTTAAAAGTCCTTACCCAGGCAAGCGGTAGTGGTAGTCATATACTTCCAACTACAGAAGTGTTTCATTAAATTCATGTTTTGACAATGTCAAATAAAAAAATAATTTTCGACAAAATGCGAAATCTAACTAATTAATCTTTAACTAACTAATCTAATGCGATCTCCTGTTGCGGCACCTATATTTGAGAAACATTTATACTCGTTAAGAAAACATAAAATTATAAGAAATTTGACTCCCTTACAGTAGTTGACCGGGATATTTGTAGGGTTATTTTTATTGTAAGTAACTAGATATTTGTAACTTCAGCTTTACTATCACTTCACCGTTTCGTACCCTCACCAGAATGCAAATCAGTTTGAGAGTATTTAAGTCAAGGTTTCGGATTTTAAGTCAGAACGTGTCTTTGCCTCTGGAGGCCACTTTACTAAGTTTATGATAAGATTGTAATTCTTCGGCTGTGCGTTATTGCTGCCAACATTTAAATTTATACGCCGGTATGATGTTTTGAACCAACTTCTCGTTAAAAATCACTTTGACTACTTGGCTAGGATTAAATTCGAATTTGACTATTACTTTGCTGCAGCGCCACAAATGGTGGTTGATTTGGAAGCACAAGAAGGGCATTTTATTTTCAAATTCAGATTTGAGACAAAGGTTTTTATAAGCCTTTTTAAATGAAAACTCTGGTATTACTTTAGCGATAATTTGCTCCAAATCTGTTAGGGCTTTGACGCTAGTTCATGCTACCAATGAAGGTAGTATCAATGCGACTAAAGAATTTTGTACATTTCATTTCAAAATTTTCATATCATATTCAACATATCTTGAGACATCGGTTAATTAAGCTAGAATAATTTGAGGAAATAAGTTTAAATGAAGTACAGTAAAAAGTGTTTACGATTTAATAAACCGTATAAATAAGTCATGTGGTGTCTACATCAGATAGTTTATAATTGTTGATGGATTTAGCAGATATAAACAGAAATAGAGAAATGTTCTCTATGAGTACAACAATGTAAAAATCTTTTTATTTAAATAACAATAACTAAACTAATTCGAAAAGTAGATCCAAAGGTAAAAAATTAGTTTTATTTCCCATGCAATTAATTTGACTACCATAAAATCCATGCAAGTAACATGACGATATATATATAAGGATCAAATGTAACATTAAATAATTTATCAATAATTAGTCAATTCTTTACCTTCACGGCATTCGTGAACTGCATTTGAGAAACCAAAGAACCGCATGTGGCTAGTAAGCCTTAGTTTGGCTATGCTTGATATGTATATTACCAGAGATTACAATTGCTTCACCAGGAAGAAAAACAATTTGTAAGCTCTTATTTACTGCACATGTGCAGTATAATGAGAGAAAGACGTGATTAAATTTGCGGGTGGTTTGGGTAAACAGCGTACAGAATTGAGTACGCAGAGCTGCCACTTCTGGCAACAACAACCATTGGACAATGGCTGGTTATCGCGCCAACCTGTGTGTGGATTACAAATAAGAGTACTTCACGCCATGCACCTTCAACTTAGTTCATCAATCATAGTGGCTGCCGAGTGGTGGTGTACTAGTTTCTCTATAAACCCATAAACAGATGTTTTTAGTGGGTGATAAATTTTGAGAATTAGCTGCCTAGGGCAGTAATCTCCCTCTGAATTGAGGACAGTCACGACACCACTGGTAACATCCATACGCGCATTTCATTGTTGTTGTTGAAAGATCGCGTCACGCAGACCTCGACGATAGGGCCCAACCAGGAACCTTAGCACGTCAAAAATGTAATGGCAGCTGTCAACATTACCCGCTATTGGAACAAGAGATGCCACTGGGTACCGGGATGTGCGCGCAATGGCAATCCATACCAGAACGCCACGTGCTGAGTCGGATGAATCTTCACTTAATGCTGATGAACGTAACGTGACAATATTCGTTGTTTTTAGTGCCTTCACACACGAATGCACTCATCACAATTTTGACGCAGAACCGGGTTTCGTCAGAAAAGAAGGAATGTCGCCATTCCTATCTCCAGTATCGTCGTTCTTCTCACCAATGTATGCGCGCCTGTCTCAGCTGCAGCATTAAGGGAAGCTGCAACAATGGCCACCGTTCTGGTAGACCTTGGTGCTGCAAATGTCTTCGCATTGTCCATGCGGACACTTGTTGTTCTGCACACCAGCCAAGTCCTTGACCCAAGGTACGTGGCGTGGCTGTAGTATCCCGCAAAGCTGGCAGGACGAAATGTCTGTTGCCTCGGATGTTAGTGACCAGGACCACTGAGATCTTACATGGTGTTCAGTACGGTCCTCTTTGGCCCATCGATTCTATAATTGTTTTATCCCGACTAACACAAGCAGCGACATCGCGCAACGATAACTGCAGTCCCGCCAGGCCACAGTCCTGCCGCTGTCGAATTCCAACACGCGCTAGTAGGAATTTTTACGTCTTAGACACGAGGCATAATACGACATTTACGCAAACAATGAAAGTTCAAATGCGATTTCGAAATGAGAAACCCTCTGTGCAATCTTCCCATTTATACATTTATACACAAAGCAGGTAAGAGTAGATAGTGTTACTCTTACCTGCTTTGTGCGCAAACGCTGGCCTGTTAATCATTTGCATATCTTATCATGCAGAACCTTACGTTTGTTGCATCACGCCTTCATGGTGTAGCAGTTTTAATCACCAGCAGTGTATTTCATACAATCAGTTTATTTTTGGAGGGCGGGGACATTATTTCTTCGCGTTTAGTCGAACGAATCCAACATTTTTTTTCTGATTTCAAAATATATTTAACAGTCTTAAGAAATAAAATTCTGTGTCGATATAGAAATATTTATGTCTCCAGAAGTTAAAAACTGATCTGTATTTGTATATCAGTTGCTCATTCATATAGTATTTTCTAATGAAAAAAAATTAAAACAAAGTTATATTGTTTTACTACTAAATATTAAACTCGCATTTTATGTGAAAGGATAAAAACACTATCTAGAATTTATTTTGATATCATAGCTGTTCTGTTAGAAATTTTAGCTGTATCATTTAGCAATTCGCGTAATATAGTATATGCTTGTGTGAACTCTACATTAATTCAGTATGCATTGAACATTCGTATTTTCTATTACATGAAATATTTTGTGAAAAAATCCAGAAAATTCTAGTTTGGTTATTTGAACATGTACTTATTAAAATTAACAATATTAAGGCTGCAACGAAACTGTTAATACATATGTATTAAAATGATACAAATAATTCAAACTTGAGAAATAAAAATATGTGCATGAAATTTCATCATAAGTTTTGCGATTCAGAATAATAAATAAGTATTAGGATTTCTATAAATAATACAAATACGAAGACAGCTCGCCTCTCATAAATGGAAAATACCCTTGGTTCAAATGTGTTTCAATTCAGACACTTTACAGTTAAAATGATAGGAATCGTATTATGTTTTTTGCGTCATGTAGAACGTTTTAGGCAAAATTCGACATACCTTCTATTAAGTACTAACTCAATAATTACAGTAAATGCCTTTTCTTAACATTAAATTCGATTTTTCAGAAGATATGAATGCTCGAATTCCAACAAACAGGTTTAGGATACTTTTCCTTAATGTATTTTCACTATTCACATCGTTTAAATATATTGCGGAAACGAATCATAAATCTCTTCATTGTATTTTCTTTACAAG